TAGAAAGTTTATTGAAATAAGCGCTTATTAGCAAATAGTAGTATATATGCTATAAAAATAAGTAATAATGCTAAAATATTTTATTCATTAAAGATAAAAATAAGATTAACAAAGATAAAAATAAACTTTTTTTTATAAAAGATTTTTTTTATAAAGACAGACTATGGAGTCAGCAAACTTCACTCAACAGTAAATTCTTAAAGAAATGTCAACGACCTTCAAGGTTGGAAAAACTTTGATAGTTTTAATAGTTTTTGCTTTCTCTATTATTTTATACTAATCATGATGTACGATGCTCTATCTATTCCTGTTTTATATTTAACAGAGCAATCAACTATAAGGGCAAATAATTGTGTAAATATAAAAAAGTGTATGTTTTCTATTATGAAAACATACCTGTTTATATATGAACAAACAACAATTGTTTATGTAAACAGATTTAAGTTTAAAAATTTAAATATTTGTCTGTGACGTGACAATTGTGACCTCCACATTGCACGCAAGCAATTAACTCTGACGACGACCTTCGATGAGCGGCAGCTTATAACTTTGACATTTCCGTCAAAAACAACTTGAAAAAAATTTGAGATGTAGTTCAAAACATGAATAAAATGACCTCAAAGTTTAAATAAATTCTAATTATTTTTTCCGTCTCAAACAAATTCACAAAAAAAGCTTAAAAATCAGCCTCATAATGTGGTTTCCCCCCTTAACGCTTATACAATGGATGCTATACTTACTATGTCTATGATTTATGTCATGTTATTATAGTGAATAGGTTATAAATAGATTATGAATAGGCTATATAAAATAATAAAAAAGTAATAAAAATGGGTGGATATGCTTGCGCGGTCAAAAACTGTAAAAACGTTACAGGTATAAAAGGAATTAGTTTTTTTAGATTTCCGAAAGATCCTCAAAGATAAAATTTATTAATGTTATTATAATAATATACGACAGTAAATAAATTACACTCTTGTTAGAAAGATCTTTGTAATTTTAATTATGTAGCATCAAACTTATTGTTAAACTTATTGTGTTTATTGTGAATTAAATTTAACTTGATTTATAGTTCTTATTACTTTTTATTTAAAAATACTAATTTTCATATGTGTTTTAGAGCTCAACTATGGTTAAAATTTTGTAATAGATATATAGAAACACCTTTGGAAAAATTATATAATAATTACAGGATTTGTAGTGAACATTTCACATTTTCAATGTTTTTGAAACAATTTGAAAAATAGGCCTCAACCACATGCTATTCCGACAATATCAAATTTGGAATCTTTATCAGAAAATAAAATTCAAAGTAAAATTTATGTTTTATTTTACAATTTATTTAATTATTTATAAATTATATATATATATATATACAGAATTTAACCAAAAGATACCGCTAAATTGTTGGAAAATATTCTTCGAACATAGAAAATGAAAATATATTACATGATTATATTGTTACGTCCGGTGGATTTCACGATTCTTTTCTTTCTTTGAAACGCTATCTTAGAAGTAATTAAAGATAGGCTCGAATTTGAAATAAGCAAACGGAACCTAACTCGCGTCAACAACCAGAATAGCCAGTCGAGATAGCGGTAAAGAAAGTCTAAGGGCCTGAGCAGAATGGCTGCCTTATAGTATTAAGACATGTCTTTATGTCTTAAGACTTTGTCTTCATGCACAATACTGTCTTGTGTATTGAGTCTTAACGGTGCGTTTTGCAAGAACTCGCGTATGCGTATGTGAGGAATATACGTAAAAAAGCAATAGTGTATAATATACGACTGCTAATAATAGGTAAGTTTTCATAAACATTTATAATATAATATATTTAAATGTTTTAATATGTAATAACAATTTTATACGTTGAAGTGTATTGCAATAAACGAATATAACCTAACTTCTTTGTTAAAAGAGATTCGTTATGACACTTATAAATCAAATTTTTTATCCAATATTACATGTTTACATCTAATTATATGTTTAATTATTATTATATTTCTAAAATAATTATCTCGTTATTCAAATAGTAGAACTACTTTTTTTCTAAAAAATTGAACAAGATATATATTGCGCTATATCATTTTTATAAAATTAAAATTAGAACATACAGTTGTATTTCTTTTATTTTATATAAATTTTCATTAAAATGATATATCGTACAAGGAGATCACCTGTATCAAACACACATACACGCATGCATGTACAATTTATCATAAAATGTTAAAATTAAACTGAAAAATTCTTTTACAGATAAACGTCTAATGTTAAAAGTGCAAAATAAAATGCAAAGGAGAAAGAAATTGTTGATAGTTGCATTATATTGGATGATTTTATATAAATTAATACGTAAGAGAAGATGTATTAAGTATATTAGAAGATGGCACGTGAGACCAATAAACCAATTAAGGTACAGATACGGAGATTATGAAACACTTTTTCAAGATTTGAAAAGTGATGAAGATTTGTTTTTTCGTTACACAAGAATCTCTTTGCCACTGTTCAACAAATTTGAACCACCCGTATCTATGGCTATAACTTGTTTCTTAGAGATTAAAGAGCCTGTGGTCCTCGAGAAATTGATCAAAGGTAAACATAAAACAAACCTCTGAAATTAATATTGCACGTGCGCTCGTTCGACAGGCCATTCTCAATCGTCAAATCATTAAGCAATAAGATAATCAGCTCCTCGCTCTCACTCTCTACTGGATGGAGCTAAATCTCGAGCAAAAGGGGCTTAATTAATTAGAGCCTTAAGACACTCCTCTCTTCCTAAAAATCTAACTCCTTGATCCTAAGAAGGGAGTAATAGAAATTATTTGATTCGACTAAAAAAGATTCCAAGCAGGAAGGAGGAGCAAAAACTTTAAAACTCACGAGCCGAAAGCGCGGACACATAGTTAATTCTCAGGATTTTTTTGACTGCATTTCTCCGCTAATTTTTACACCAGTTCGCAATATTAAGAAAAAAAAAAAATCAATTGAATAGTTTGAAGTGAGTGTGATCCCTGGGCTCCTCCAGACGTTGCAGTTTCACAATCAATTACTTGTTGGCTTGCAACTCACGCTCCGGCCTGAATCAAAATTTTTTATTGTCAACGCACTCAATAATTAGTAAGTCTCATCCGATTATACTCCCTTTAACCTTTCACGATTAAGTTGTCATTGGGAAATATATTTTTTTTTATTTTTTACCTAAATCAACAATAAAAATAATTATCTTCATTTCATCAACCATTTAAATCTTGTTCTCTGGCTCATTCCTTTTCCTTAATCCACCTTCACACAATTCCTTGTTCGTCGAGAATCTCCGCAAGGCGGTTCACGAACAATTCCCTGTTCGTCTAGAATCTCCGTAAGGCGGTTCACGAACAATTCCCTGTTCGTCTAGAATCTCCGTAAGGCGGTTCACGAACAATTCTCTGTTCGTCTAGAATCTCCGCAAGGCAGTTCACGAACAATTCCTTGTTCGTCCAGAATCTCTACAAAGCGATTCACGAACTCCTCGTTCACCTTGGAGCTCTATAGCACTGTTTACTCCTATTTTAATTAAATCTTCGAGAGCTGATTCCTCTTTCGACTTCCCTTAAAATTCCAATCCTTTTTCAGGCGTTGTCAATACAGGTACAAAATTGTACTGAGAATCACGCAAAGTATAGAGAGATAATATAATATCGAAGAGACAGGGGAGAGCTTCGGCTCTCCCACTCTGGGGTAGCTGGACTTATGATGGTAGTGCACTGGACAAGACAGGAAAAATGAAATCGAACAAATTTAACTTAGACCAAGCAGACAAGCATGACGCGCGTCGCCGTGCCGTCGCATACAACTTCAGTGGGATCTCGCCTTTCCACCTCAGCCCCACCGGTGTCACTGTAACCTCTCTTCGACATTACGGGTCAAAAAACATCATGGGTATAATTGCCAAACCAGAGTTGGGCAGCCATAATGTTCATATATCAGTAACCATCGATTTGTACAGATATGCCCCGCTACTATTTCTAAAAGGGCCAGACACCGCCACACATCACGTGATTCAGTGGGTAGATAATGTCGCCGGATATTCTAATCTGGCAACTGGAACCCAAATGCCAGTTCCCCTAGATATGTATGAAAATTTGTCTAAACTTCCAGAGTCTGGGCATTCCGACCGCTAATTCTTTCGATGGCTGTTAATCTAATTCGATTACTTCAGAGACACATCATTGATCCGGATTAATCTAGGGAAATTTAGGAAGTCTATCGTTGAGTACCACTGCTCAGTCCGATCAGAGATCCGATTAGTTGTCGTAAACACCCCGGTGAAGGAGTGAGATATTTAGCGTGAAACTTTTCACCAATAGCCGACATGGGGTGCTTTCCATTTAGCGACACAAATCGACACAAGTGTCATTCTATCTTTGTTTATTGTTATTCATTGAAAAAAGATAGAATGACATTTGTGTCGACTTGTGTCGCTAAATGGAAAGCACCCATGGTTAAGCGGGGAGCACACACTTTCGCATAAGCGCATAACGCATAAGCATAAAGAAATGAGCCAATCAGGATCTTTTATTTTTATCCCCACTCCTTGTCCCGAGGAGCTTGCATTGTGCATACAGCATAATGCATAAGGCGTCGAAAAATTCGTAAGAACGAATTTTTTATGGTTATGGGTTGTGGTTGTGCAAGAGTCGATGAATTTTACAAGGGGTCTGTTCTTTTTAGCTGCACTGCTGCACTAGTGCAATAAATTAAGAAAGAGACAAACACTTTCTTTCACTCTAAACTAATTGCACTAGTGCAGCAGTGCAGCTAAAAAGAACAGGCCCAAGATTGTTTCCAACCTTTCTAACCTTTTCGAAATATATCGACGTCATAGACATCATATAACCTCAATACGAGGTTAAAGACATTATTTCACCAACCGGTGATCAAACTGGAAAAACCCACTATCGACGTCACATAACTTCATTCAAAAATCTCCTTCGAAATATATCTGAGAAGGTGTGTTTAAATATTCTTTATTATTATTAAATAAAATTCTTTGATTATCATAAAATTATTTTTTTTTCTATTATTAATTATATAAATATTGATAGGAAAATGGATCATGATTCATTATATCAAGATGAGGATGATGAAAATTTTGATTATGATGAAAATAAAAATGAAGAAGTGAGTGGAGATGCTTTGCTGATTTCTTTAGTGCGTGACCATCCTTATTTATACAATAAGGAACTGACGGATTTTAAAGATGCCATTAAGAAACAGAATGCTTGGGTAGAAATAGCAAGTATCATGAACATGACAGGTACGTACATAATGCCTTTCTACATTTGAATTATATTAAGTTATTATTTTAACTCATTTTCAATAAAAAAAAGTAGTTACTAATTAATAAAATTATAAAAGAATTTTGACATTTTTTTGAATAATTAAAACTTATATTTAAAATAAATTTTATTAGGTGCTTTCCATTTAGCAATACAAATCAACACAAGCGTCATTCTATTTTTGTTTTACATTATGTCGACTTGTAAATGAAAAGCATCCATTGTTAAATTATTATAAATATTATTAAATTATTATATTTTAATTTAATGAAATTTTTATTGCAAGTGGAAGAGTGTCAAACCAGATGGATTCGACTGAGGGAGCGCTATTCACGCGAAAAAAAGCAACAACAAGAAGAAACAACCACTGGAAGTGGAGTATCAAAAAGAAAAACGTTTGAATTTTTCGATAATATGCAATTCCTGGAAAGATTTGTTAAAAGGAGAAGGTACGATTAATATGTAATTATCTATAATATTAAATATAATATAGAAGTTAGAATAGTTAATAATGCACATTTTTGTTTTTAGAAAAATAAAAGTATTTTATTAAATTGATAGAACCGAAACAAATAATACAAACAATTGATATTCTAAGATATATTTTATTAAAATAATATTTGATTGTTCAGAAAATTTCTTCTTGAGATATTTTAATTATCTGAGCGTCGGTTAAAAAAGCCACCGCGACGATGATTGTTAAACTGTTACTTAACAATTTTAACAAGTTTAAAAAACATGATACTACTTTTATCTTAGATGTTTGTAAAAATATATTTTTGTTAGAAAGTACAAACGGACAAATTAAACACAGCACTGTCTCTACCATGATTTAGTGAAAAAAAAGAAAGAATTAAGACAAATATATAAAAATAAACTGAATTTTGAATAACTTACTTTGTATAATGAGATATACTACAAATTCTATGCAAGTGTATGTTTCGTTATAATAATTAGCTGCAATAAATTAATGTTTTATCCACTATCATTGTAACATGAAAAATATACAGGGTGGCCCCTAACATTTCAGCCGGACTTTGAGATCTTATAGGAAATTTAATTCTGAACAAAAAATTTCCTATAAACATGGGTCGAAAAATGTTTCCTTAAGAAGTTATCACTCAAAAACTCTGATGAAGGAAGAGCAAAAGGTGAAAAGAAAATGAAACTAAATAAATTTCTTGAAAAAAAAAACGATAAAAATAAAAATAAAAATCTTTTTCTTTTATGAAAATAAAATAAAAGTTAGTTAAAAAAAAATTATTTTATTTTCATAAAAGAAAAAGATTTTTATTTTTTATTTTTATCATTTTTTCAAGAAATTTATTTAGTTTCATTTTCTTTTTATTTCATTTTCCTTTCACCTTTTCCTTCATCAAAGGTTTTTGAGCGATAACTTCTTAAGGAAGCATTTTTCGATCCATGTTTATCGTAAATTTTTTGTTCAGAATTAAATTTCCTATAAGATCTTGAAGTCTGGCTGGAACGTTCAGGGCCATCCTGTATATGCGCACTTATGATTTCTTATTATTTCGAGAAACTTCCGAAGACTAATAACACTTAGCGTATATTACAATAAATGTGTATATCATATGTAAACACAAAAGATGAACACATAAATAGGATATAACAGTAGGCAATAATCTTAGAAGACAAGTCGATTTCAAATAGCGAACGGTATTTCAACTGATTCTATTTGTTTTGGAGCCGATAGAGTTCTCTCTCTTGGGACGGGAGTTATCTCCTCGAGAGTCAAAATCATGTGTCGAATTCGATTGCTACCACCGATACTGCGACTAATCAGAGCGATAGAATTCAACTGGCGGTAATAATTGGTCCGATAAGGTAGTAAGGAGATTCTTCCCGATCGATCTATTTAAGCGATGCTTTTGTGAGATCTCGCTCTCTTTTCTGGCCTGTACAAGAATCGATCTAATCACGAGCAACATTTTTAGAGCATTCTCGTTTCGCGAATAAAGTCAATCTTATATCAACTAGGTCTGGTTAACTTTCCGTATCCTAAGTCGAGCCGTCCTAACTGCGATCAAGGCCAAATTCATAACCATTGCTCATTGCTTGAACATCGGTTTTTGTTTACCGGCATCATGTTCTGTAAATGATTTAAATTTAATTTTGGAACAAATATTTCGTAATAAAGTTTTTTTATTAATGACTTTTATTCTATAGACTTCAAATTGGTCGAAGTTAAAAATTTAAAATATAATCAGTAAGAGTTATTTAAGGATGTAATATTTTTTATCTGATATGTCGAAAAATACGAACAAAATATACAATTAATTTAACTTTACCAATAATAATATAGAATAATAATAATTATATTTTATTTGCACATATTAATATATTTAAGATAAATATTTTTATATAACATCCAAATATTTTGAAATAACAGATATATTTTTTGTATTTATTTTATAATTATAGTGTTTTAGCGCTTACTTTTTCTATGATGATAATCAGAACAACATATGATATATTTGTGCATCAAAAATATTTCATCGTAACGGATAAAACTAGCGATAATAAGCTTACTAGCGATAGTAAGTTTACTAGCGATAGTTTTATCCGTTACGATGAAATATTTTTGATGCACAAATATATCATATGTTGTTCTGATTATCATCATAGAAAAAGTAAGCGCTAAAACACTATAATTATAAAATAAATACAAAAAATATATCTGTTATTTCAAAATATTTGGATGTTATATAAAAATATTTATCTTAAATATATTAATATGTGCAAATAAAATATAATTATTATTATTCTATATTTGCTAGTAAGCTTACTAGCGATAGTTTTATCCGTTACGATGAAATATTTTTGATGCACAAATCGTATTTGAAATCACTTAAAAACTTTTTTCAACAATAAATCACATTTATAATATTGAGCATATGTTGACTTTTTATATAAATATACTATTGTGAAAATTCTGTATTGCGATTCAGATATGAAGAATATATCCGAGGAAATGGAAATAACATCTTTAGTCGAGAAAGTAGAACTGGACAAATATTAATGTGTTTTTCCATATACACAAATACAAAAATAATATTAAACACGAAATTGAATGCTGACGAAATACCTGTCATTCACGGTTTAAAATTTTTAAGTATGAGTTGGATAATTATTTTGCATATCGTATTTTTCATTGGATTACGTCGGTGAGTTCCTTTCTAAAAAGTGCATCGATTAAATCGATTCTCGAAAGTCTCGAAGTATTGTCTCGAATATCTGCTAAACTATAAGAGTTAAAGAAAAAAAAACGTGCAACCAAGTTTAATGGCTTGAAGTACTTTAAAATTATATGATCAAAATTTTTTTATTTTTATTTTTTTAAATCCTACTTATTTTTTTTCGAAATTAAAATTTCTTTACCTAATTTAAAACTTTTTTTTTTTCAAATTCAACCATGTGTAATAAAGTTATGTTACAAAATATCGTTTTTGAAAATTAGTTATAAACGCTCCCTAGCGTTTTTCATTATAATTATTGGAAGTAATTAACGGAAGAAATATATCTCGATTATGAAAAATTTTATAAATTACATAGTTTTGAAATAATTGAAGATGATGAAGAAGCATGGAATGAAGATAATTTAAATTCTCATCCTCATTGTTCAAATGATGATACAAATTTTGATAGTTCTTATAAAAGACGAGCTCTTGAGTATTAGCAACATCGGGACACTAATGAAAACAGTAATGACAAAAAAAAGAAATCGTCCTCTAAAAGTAATACGAAGTAAATTTAGAAGAGTTTCATCTGAACGTCAGTTAAAACGATGAACAAATACAATCAAGTGTAAGTCGTATAGAAAAATTATCTTACATCTCCAAATTTACACATAATAAATTTATTGCAGCTGTTGAATCAGGATTCATGATTCATGATATTGATTTAAAAAAATGGGCTTTACAAAGCTCTCAAGAAGAAACATAAAATTTTATATTTAAAATATAATATATATTTATAATAAACTTACAATTCACTATTTTGATATTATATGTCTGACTTTCATTATATCTCTTTATTATCACATTATTAACATTTATTATTTCATCTGCTTAATCCCATATTTTTATGTATCAATATACAGGTCAGGCAAGAATATTTAAATGTCAAATACGCAAATGCGCGTACTAGATGAAGGATTTTTGACATGTAAATGCATTATGAAACAGTGTGTCATAAAAAACATATATATGGTTGAATTCAGAAAAATACTCTCTTTCTTTCATTATTACAAGAAATTTCTTGTAATTTTCCAAATTACAAGAAATATTTTTAAACAAAAAAAATTTTTTTTTTCAATAAACAAAACTTTTTTTTTATTTCTGTTTATGCCACTTTGTAACAATTAACTTGCCGTTAAACTTTTATTTCAAACATTTTTTTGTATCTCTTGTATTTTACGAGGTATACGCAAAAAAGTATAAGCGCCCTTTTACCCTTGAGGTCGAGAATTATATCTTTAAAGTGAAAACGGGTACGAACTTTTTATATCGTTATTCATGTATTAAGTGCCTCTACATATTCCCAAAGTTTGATCCAAATCGAAGAGTTCGGGTTCGCGGTGTTCCCTTGTGAGTGTGTATTTTCTTACTTTGAAATAGCCCTGTTCGAAAGAAACCAGGGAAGAAATATAAATTCCTCTCGAGATCTTTGAGGATCTTAAGATGTCACGTTTCACTCTGTTACGTCTCGAGAGACTCCGCAGGGTTTACTTTGAGGGGAAGAAATTATGACTCTATATTTATTTTTTAGAGCAACCTGCTAAGCCGGCTATTTTCTGAGACGTCTACTGACGCTTGAAGATTCAGCAGATGAAGAAATTAACTATACCCTCAACTACCTCAGTAGTGAGGAGTTCTTAGGCTGCATTGACGACCTTGAACTATCCTCAGAACGTAAAATAAACATAAATAGACCATTCATACAAGATATATATGTTACCATTATCTCCACGGTTATAAAATTGTATTAAGAATAATCAAAAATAAAGGAAAGTTATTGAAAGTTTATTTCAATATTATAAACATTCAATCAAAATTTTGTTTATTGTTACGTCCTAACGCTTCACACCTCTCTGTTTCCTCAGAACAGATCTGCAAGGCGAGTGAGGTGAATCTCTGAATTTATTTTTCGAGGCAACCTGCGATGCTGGCTATACCTCGGGATGCCGAGAGATTTAGATCTATGTGGACTTCTGATTTATTCAAGGAAATGGATGTATGTATGGCAGAATTAATTTGAATGTATTTCAACACCTCACTCGCCTGCATAGGTAAGCCTTGCAGATTTGTTCTGAGGAAACAGAGAGTGAGACGTAACAATAAGCAAAATTTTGGTGGCAGCGGTGAGGTATGCCAAAATCGGACTACCACAGAGTAAAATATTTTTCTAGAATAAAACCCTCCGACTTCATCGAATTTTGTTCTTAAATAGAGAGGAGTTCCGCCACGAAAATTTTATTTCAACGGACCAATGATGATATTATTTTATATATTCGTTTAAAGCTTTGCTACTATTAACGTATAATTAATCAACATATTTATTCAATATAATCAGATTGTATTTAATATAATCAGATGTTAAAAGAAAAATAATATATTAATCACCCATAGAATATAATATTTCTGCAAACATTTTCAGGAATATTTTTTTGTAATGTTTTAACAAGCATTTTATCACGTTACAGAAACTTCGCAGGCATATTTCAGAAATGATTTAATAAAACATCAATAAAAGCTGCCGAAAATATAAAAAATATTAAAAATAATATGGAAGGGATTGTGGAGGAAGAGTTGGGGAGAGAAGTAGAGATTAGTGAGGTTAAGGAGAGGAAGGGGATGATTTTAGAGGAGGGGATGCCCCGCGTCGGGCTGGCCAGGCCTGCGGCTCTGCCGCTGCCGGAACGCCGGATGCGGTGCTTCCGATGCCTGGAGGTAGGGTACGGAGCGACTATGTGTAAGGAGGTAGATAGAAGCGGTCCCTCTCGGATAAAACTCGGAGCACTCCCTCGGTGCGGCCGCCTGCGTTTCCGGCAGGCGAGTCGCCCAGCGGAGGCTGGCCAAATTGAAGGCCAAAGCCCGGGAGACTTTGTCCTCCAAGGACAAGTCCCCGACGAGACCTGGTGAGGGGAGTAAGAGGGGCCCCTGTGGGGCAGAACCCTCCGAAACCCTCACCCCAGAAGGGCCTGCGGGAGGGAAGGGGGAACCCTGGAGGGTCCCTCCTCTTCCCTCTCGAAAAAAGGCTCCACCGAAGTCGGGGGGAGTCGTCCGACTAGGTCGTCGCTGAAGAGGACTGTGTCGGAGCGGTCCCCCCCCCGTCCAGAGTGGACAGGAGATGGCCGAGGAGCAACAACCGGAGTCCTCATCCGCTTCACCGGCCCCGACGAAGAAGAGGCGGGACCGGAAGGGGCGATTCAGAACTCAGCCCTGAGTCGCCCTTTCCGCTCCAATAGGAGGAGAATGGGATAACGGCACCTCGAAGAGAAGGGAGCCTTAAATGGCTTGGGCCATGCCCGGCTCCAGGGTATTGCGAGAGCGGGTACCCGGGGCCAATCGGGCGGCGAGAGCAGCAAAGGAGGCTGCGTGACAGGGGTTTTTAGTTGGTATACCCGGCATTGCACTCCTTGGGAGAGGAGCTAGCCTTCTCTCAAGGGCCGGGGAGTCCAACACTACCCCTGGTGCGCCGAATGCACCGGGGGGTGTGCGTAATGCATTTTCCTCTGTCAATAAACAAAAACAAAAAAAAAACAAAAAAAAAAGAAGAAGGGGATGGCACGGTGCTGAGTTAAGATGGGAAAGTCAGAGGGTTTTATTCCGACCTGTTGAGGGACAGGTCGGAATTATTAGAGAAAGGATGGGAAATAAGACGAAATTGGGGGGTGGAGGTAGATGAGAATTTGACGATGGAGGAGAGAAGGGTGAGGTGGAAGTTGGTCGAGAGAGCAAGGTTGGAGAAGGCGAAGGGAAATGTGGTTGTAAAGTCGTATAAAAATTATACGAAATATTTTGATTAAACTTTTCACATTATAAAAAAAATATTACAACAAATAATTTTATAATATTTCAAAAAGAATTTCACGGTTACATTATTTTTTTATACTTAAATATGTCAAACAATGTTGCGTAAATCTTGTTAAAATAATACGTGAAATTTGTTTTTTTTACTGAGAAATATAAATGAATGATTTTAAAAAATTTTCCTTAAAATATTTTGTAAACATTGCAGCAATAATATAGGCAATGTTACATAATCAAAACAAGAATGCCTGAATCATTTATAAAATATTTTTAAAAACTGAGTAATTACTTTCTTAAAATATTAGAAGTCAGTTTTAAAAACGTTTTCTAATCAAACGTTTTCAATAAATGTTCTAGATCTTTATAAACATAAAACATGAAGAAAATGTATCGTGATATGTTTTCTGAAAAATATTTAAAACATATATTACAAATATTTCACAAAACGTTACTTTTCTGAAATGGGAACATGATAAAATGCTTGTTAAAACATACTAAAAAATATTCCTAAAAACGTTTCGCAAAAATATTACATGTTATGTGGGCAAATTATTTTATGAAAGAATACTCAAAAATTTTTTGGCTAAGAAGCTGTTTTAACTTTTTGCGATTCTCAAATGTTGCATGAAAAACATTCTCATATGTGTTTTCACAAGTATTTCAAAAATATTAGGAACAAATCTTTTCTGGATTTGAAAATAACGAGATATGTTCATTTTATATTTGCGTGTACAACATTTTGCATTTAAATTATACCGCCAATTTCGTATATACATCTCGGATAACACTGACCGATGCTGCTACCAACGATTTCGTATGATGCAGAGATTTTTTGCAGCTGTCTGCATCGTTTTGTATTTTAAGTAATTGGTTTATTTTCACGCTAATAACGTATTTGGGTAAGTTCTTTTAGTGGGTAAGTTAAGAGACTTTTATTAATATTTTTATTAGATATTACTTTATTTTTATGAATTGTATGCAGAAACTCATGCATTATAACTAATAACCTAGAAATTTCATGAAATATGTTTTTAATCAATTTATACAAATTGAGATAATAAAATTATTCTGCAAATTTCATAATATTTTAAGAACTATTTTTCTAAAATATTCTGATTTTTATGAAATCTGAAAATTTGATAGAATATGTTGTGACGTGACGCTTTTTAAGTTCCGTCACAGTGACCCCGCCGAGGGGAAACAGCGAACGCGGGGTCGTCTCTCGCGCCTGAGAGGGAATTTAAATTTGAATTTGATCGCATATTTAGATTTATTTTAGCCAAGTAAGATTCGTGCGATAGCGAGTGCGGCGGCCTGTGTGAGCGTGTGAGATTGTAACCTGTACCGAAGATACCGAAGATACCGAAGATACCGCCAGTAAGGTCGGAGGATGGACTAAGGATACCGCACAGCGATAAGGTCACGTATAGAGATCCCGCGCCGCCGCTAGTCGAAGTCCGCGAAATACTAATCCCGAAAATTTTCAGGACGGCAGAAAATCTGGACGACTGACCACCCCAGGCTGCAGACTGGGAAGAAAATGAATTACTGCAGACTCCGGACCACGATAAGGCCAAGCCAGCCTGCGGAGTCCGAGCTGCAAGGAGACACCGCTGAGAAATTACTGTCAGCGTCGGATCGGAACCCCTGCGTAAGGGCAACGCCGTCCAACAGCGGAGATTTTGAAGGGGGCGGAAAATCAACCCCGTTTCTCCAAAAAATCGACGGGATGCGCGGAAGATCGGCGGGATCCGAGGGCCTCACGGACGCAGAAAAGATTCGTCACTGTTCGGTGAGCCTGTGACCAGTGTGCTACTACCTGGAAAATCGGAGGAGACGATCTCGAAGGAAACCGCCACCAGCTAATATTGTAAGCCGCCGCACGAGTAGCCTAGGTGTTTTCCGTCCGGAATCAGCTGGCGTCACCACTTTTAAAAAGAAAAAAAAGGAGTCGTCGCGGGGCGGCGATTTTACCGTCTCAATTATCGCGAAAATTATAAAACTTGTACCGTTAATTATCGGACGCCAGCTGCTCTCGGGCGCCGCGAATTTGTCCCTCTCAGGGGATGGTTCGTGCCGACAGTCCCGTGTCGTGAAGTTTCCGTACCGTTTCGTTTCGTACCGTTTAATATTGTACCGTTTCGTTTTTCGTACATACCGTCTCGTTACCGTTACGTTCCGGGCCGAATTTCAAGTCACCGCGTGACGGGCAAACTTTGGCCGCTTTGTATCGCGTATCGGAGAAGGCGGGATTTGCGCAGACAATTTCTTGACGAGCCCGGGCTACCGGAATTAAAAGAACACGGCTCTGTAAGAATATTGTGTAAAGCGAAATCTCCGTCGAGATATGTATAACCGTTATCGTTCCGTATAAAATTCGAGTGTGTGAAAGTCAAGTTTTGTTGTTAAAGATAGGAGGTCGCGAGACGAACGTTAAATCGAGTAAACCATATTAGCATTGTCATCCTTGAGATTACCGTGAGGCATTGCCGATAAGAATTGCCGAAAATATTGTGAGATCTTGTTATCGATTATCGCGAGGAAAAATTTTAGATTCGATTTATATCGAAATTTTTCAGGATACGTTTACTGTTAAAATCTACCGTAATTATACTTCTTGAGTCTCCTTTATCTGTAATTAATTACTTTCGGATACCGTTATTTTAAGCTACCGTCAAAAATTTATGTAAAAGATACTTCGAGATATATCGAAATTCTGCGTGAGGCTTGTGCCTCCAAGGGTGTTCCGAAAGTATACGCGTTACTAGAGTCTGATCGTAAATCTTTCTTTACCGTTGATTACCGCAAATTACCGGCGATTTTGTAAGGAAAAATTAATCCAATTTATACTGAATTCGTTGGCGAGGCCTGTGCCTCTACGTATGTTCGGAAATCGAGCATAGCTAGTCCGCGGGTATTATAGATTACCGAACCGCTAATCATTTATCTGATTTTCTGTTCCTGTTATGATTTTTGAGTTATATTTATTTCGGTATCGCTCTTTTTGTGGACTTATAGTTTTCTATTCTGAATAGAGCGTCCCGTTAT